GGTGAGGCCCTTTTCAAAACGTTAGGTGAGAGAAAGGGGGAAACGTGCAATTAAGCTGCACCCTACGGTAACTTGTATCAGGCTATAGGGCTCTCATTGCCTCTACCTACGTTTTGTGCTTCCCAAGCGTAGAAAGGACCTGTGTTCCGTTCCTTAACCATGTAACTATTGCTGTAGTTACCCCCACAACGACATTAACTAAACACGTAACATCCCATCCACAAATTTAGACTAGATAAAACAAACTGGACTAACCTCTGGCGTTTGGTGTAGCACACAGGTAGTTGATACAACTTTCAGTCCCGGTTTCTTGACGGTCTGTCGAAGGCAGCAGCAGTGTCTTAAAGATTCAATAGCCGTGGTGCAGTCTTCATTCGCAAAAGCACGCTTCACTGCACTAACCATATCTGGAATGACTCGACTTTATATTGGTGTGGCATTACTGAATATTCATTATAAAAAAAGACGAAACAGCCCTAACTGGCAAAATAACACCGGAAAAAGACTATATTGAAACGGGCCCAGGTGGCTCGAGCTACTTCTAATATTTCAACACAAAGGAATAATTTTAGTCAAACGGATACAGGAGCCTTAAGGGTCTTAGCACCAGGATCATCATCATCAGGGCTCCGGATGCAGGATAAAAGTCTTAAGAACTTGAAAAGAGCGTTTGTCCTGGAGTATCAACTTCTGAAGACATTCAATATCCAAAGATATCTAAGTACATTTTCTGTAGAAAACAACAGTCCGCCTAGTCACCAAAAGATCTAAAGATCTGCTTGCAGGTTACAATCTAAAATCTCATACCCAAGAAGATACAATATACTTCTATCACTTTCAGGAGATACATTAATCAAATATTTGCCATCTATATTCCTCAAAAACCATGCCCCAGCTGCAGCCTGCCAAGCTGTCTCACAAATTGTTTCCAAAAGGAAAGATTTATTGTTTTAATTTCTTATTTATTCACTCACTCACTTTTTAAGGCAGAAACTATATCTTTTGAATTTCGTAACGGTTAGTTTGTTTTAGGAAACGTGGTAGGGGTGGTTCTACGTCGTGTGTATCTGTTGGAATCTCCCAAGGCCAGTAGGTTTAGATAGCTAGTGTGGATGAGGTGGGTTCAACGCCTTGGCTGATGGACAGATCTCCCGAAGCATCCGTAGTGTTGACGTATGTTCTCACTCCTTGGCTAGCAGCATCTCCAAAAATGTTTCTACTCGTTACGTTTGCTTTCTCCTCTTTGGTCGAAGGAAAATCTTCATAAAAAGTGACACGATGTGTGTTGGTTTTCCTATCTAAGCCATAGGTGACAATGTGCCTGCCTGCTGTAGACCTACCTCTCCGAGAGGCGGTTGCAGAGGCTTGTCTATAAGTCTGTGTATTTTCCCTGGCATTCGATATTTCGTCGGCAGGCACAGCGTAGGAGGAAATGGGACCATCCTCATCGTTATCATCATCATCATCCGAAATGTTGCAATATGCATACTCACAAGGATGGAGAGTCGCAGGCAGTGACTTACAGGAGACAGTGTCATCTTTGACGACTTCTTGCCTCCCTGTTATCGCAGAAAGGGAAGCTTGTCGTCTTAACTGGAGGACAAAGTCATCTGGGATCTCAGAGTATATGTGAGGGAGGGCTGGGAGAGGCCGTTGCGCTACAGCTACATGATCTGGGATTTCGGAGTAAGTCGGTTCGATAGAGTTGAGAACAGTAGGCAGTGACCTACAGGAGACTGTATCATCAGGGACCTTCCTTTGTGTTCGTCGTAAGTCAGGAAGGGAAGCTGACCTAACCATGCCAGAAGGAGGCATCCCCGTTTGACCATTAGTGACGGCGCGCATACCCTGATTGTTTGACCCCCTTGTCTTTGTTACGACGCAAACGCTCAGTGACAAAAACAGAATGCACAACATAACCAGCACAATGGAGATGGGCACGTTGATAAAAAAGCTTGTTTCCCCTTCGACAGATTTGGACACAACGGTAGTCTGTGTGGTTCTTAATCGTGTCTGGTACATTGATGTAGGTGTTGTCTGGTTTGCAAGTTCTGTGGGTGTTGTATGAGATATCGGGGAGCTTGTTTGTTCCATATCGAACTTCTCTTCAAAGCATGTTTCTTGGCTTTCCAGGCGAAAGGGCGAAACATTGAAATACGATTGGAATGTGTCGCCTTCTGTGAGCTTAAGACAGGTCACATCTTGTGCTTCTAGCGTAGGTGTGCTACTCTCGTAGTTTTCTACGACTATTGCGTCTTTTCGTTTGATGTAATTTGTGTTATACAGCACAACGGCAACATTGACAGTAGCTAGGTTATCAGTACCAAGGGAAACTACCTTCAGACTTAGTCCACCCTGTAAAGGAATGGTCACGCCTTCATTATCATCCCATACATCCCTACACTGGTCAGTACTGCTAGACGCCTGTTCGTCCAGCGATCCGTTTGTGACAATGACTACAAAAGGTGACTGTATGTTTATCCTAGAAGCTGAATGTGGACATGTTACAGAAGAGTGTGTTGGCGTTGAGCTATCATAGTAGTCAGACCCGGACGTATCAAACAGGTACGCAAAGGACTGCTTGTTTCCATTGACAGTATGTGTCAGGCAGAGGACAATGTTTGGAACGTCTAACCGTATCTGTCTAGCAATTGAGTTTCCTAATATGTTATAAAAATTCTTCGTCACAAGATTCCATGGCGTCAGACTTGGAGCTGCATCTTTGACTGTTACCAGATTCTCCCCGCTCAAATAGAGCAACGGCGGATTACCTGCTCCGGAGAATGCTTCCCTGTCTACACATGACAAAGGGTTTTCCGTCATGTTCAGTGTTTCAAGATTTGTCAAGTTCTGAAATGCCTTAGCAGGAACCTTATCAATACGGTTCGACCCCAGGTACAGCTGAGGTAGATTTGAATTGTGTTTCTCTGAGAACCATTCAGGGTGGACAGATTTCAAGAGGTTGTTTTCCAGATCCAGGAGTCTAAGATATATCAGGTCCTCAAAGCTGCCAGGATCGATCTTTACAATTTCATTATTGGACATGGTCAAAAAGCGTAGGTCTCTCATACCGCTGAACCAGATCCGTTTGACATGCACCAATTTGTTAAAGTCCAGGGCCAGGGTAAACATACCACTGAAGTTACCCATATGCATTGTATTAGTATTCTCCTCAATATCTTCGATCTGAGCATCGACTAGAAGAATAGCTTTAACCAAGGAATAGTCAAGAAGCGGCAGTGTCTTGGCAGATAGAACACCGATAGGGTAGCCTTTTATGGCCAGAGTTGTAGGGGTATGACGCAGGCAGGCTACAGTAGGTGGCTGGGTAGAACTCACATTGGTGTCACATACGATACATGCCGGGTCAAAATTGCTTAATTCAGCTCTTCCTTGGTAACACATCAACATGTCCGCTTTCATACACTGGGGGAAGCAGAGCATGTTGGCAGCTACACAAGGAACTATTATAGTGTTCAAGAGGAGAAAAATCAGAGGACTCATCTTCTTAACACTCGTCAGGCGAATTGTAGGAGACACCGTGTTTGTATTGAAAGTTGTGACCCCCCGCAGCCTTTGTTGGTTGGATTGGTGATGGGGTGAAGTCAGTGTCCGATAACGGCAGGGACGGACTGTTTATTGCTAGCCTGTGAAACGACAAAATTAACATAACTACGCTGTTTTTAACGGATGTTGCATTTCTCTACAATTGTAAATAAAAGACATGGGCATCCTTAACTATGTTGTTTGCCTTCAAAACTAGCAGAGACGTTTAAAACGTTTTCTTCTTCACCAAGGAACAAAGAGGCAGAGCACAAATTTTGAGGCTTAATAATGAGGTCTTTCACTTAAAACCATTAAAAACTCAACAGCATTTGTGATAATACATTTGCAGGTGAGGCCCTTTTCAAAACGTTAGGTGAGAGAAAGGGGGAAACGTGCAATTAAGCTGCACCCTACGGTAAGTTGTATGAGGCTACTGGGCTCTCATTGCCTCTACCTACGTTTTGTGCTTCCCAAGCTTAGAAAGGACCTGTGTTCCGTTCCTTTACCATGTAACTATTGCTGTAGTTACCCCCACAACGACATTAACTAAACACGTAACATCCCATCCACAAATTTATACTAGATAAAAAAACTGGACTAACCTCTGTCGTTTGGTTTAGCACACAGGTAATTGGTACAACATTCACTTCAGTCCCGGTTTCTTGACGTACGGTCTGTCGAAGGCAACAGCGATATCTTAAAGATTCAATAGCTGCGGTACAGTCTTCATTCGCCAAAGCAAGCTTCACTGCACTAACCATATCTTAAATGACTCGACTTTATATTGGTGCTGCATTACTGAATATTCATTATCATGAAAAAAAAAAACGAAACAGTCCTAACTGGCAAAATAACACCGGAAAAGATTATATTGAAACGGGCCCAGGTGGCTCGAGCTACTTCTAATATTTCAACACAAAGGAATAATTTTAGTCAAACGGATACAGGAGCCTTAAGGGTCTTAGCACCAGGATCATCATCATCATGGCTCCGGATGCAGGATAAAAGTCTTAAGAACTTGAAAAGAGCGTTTGTCCTGGAATATCAACTTCTGAAGACATTCAGTATCCAAAGATATCTAAGTACATTTTCTGTAGAAAACAACAGTCCGCTTAGTCACCAAAAGATATAAAGATCTGATTGGAGGTTACAATCTACAATCTCATACCCACAAAGATACAGTATAGTTCTATCACTTTCAGGAGATACATTAATCAAATAGTTGCCATCTATATTCCTAAAAAAACCAAGCCCCAGCTGCAGCCTGCCAAGCTGTCTCACAAATATTTCCAAAAGGGAAGTTATTGTTTTAATTTTTTTATTTATTCACTCACTCACTTTTTAAAGCAGAAACTATCTTTTGAATTTTTTAACGGTCAGTTTGTTTTAGGAAACGTGGTAGGGGTGGCTCTACGTGGTGTGTCTCTGTTGGAATCTCCCAAGGCCAGTAGGTGTTAGATAGCCTTAGATAGTGTGGATGAGGCGGCTTCAACGCCTTGGCTGATGGACAGATCTCCCGAAGCATCCGTTGTGTTGACGTATGTTCTCACTCCTTGGCTAGCAGCATCTCCAAAAATGTTTCTACTCGTTACGTTTGCTCTGTCCTCTTTGGACGAAGGAAAATCTTCATAAAAAGTGATACGATGTGTGTTGGTCTTCCTATCTAAGCCATAGGTGACAATGTGCCTGCCTGCTGTAGACCTACTTCTCCGAGAGGCGGTTGCAGAGGCTTGTCTATAAGTCTGTGTATTTTCCCTGGCATTCGATATTTCGTCGGCAGGCACAGCGTAGGAGGAAATGGGACCATCCTCATCGTTATCATCATCATCATCCGAAATGTTGCAATATGCATACTCACAAGGATGGAGAGTCGCAGGCAGTGACTTACAGGAGACAGTGTCATCTTTGACGACTTCTTGCCTCCCTGTTATCGCAGAAAGGGAAGCTTGTCGTCTTAACTGGAGGACAAAGTCATCTGGAATTTCAGAGTATATGTGAGGGAGGGCTGGGAGAGGCCGTTGCGCTACAGCTACGTGATCTGGGATTTCGGAGTAAGTCGGTTCGATAGAGTTGAGAACAGTAGGCAGTGACCTACAGGAGACTGTATCATCAGGGACCTTCCTTTGTGTTCGTCGTAAGTCAGGAAGGGAAGCTGACCTAACCATGCCAGAAGGAGGCATCCCCGTTTGACCATTAGTGACGGCGCGCATACCCTGATTGTTTGACCCCCTTGTCTTTGTTACGAGGCAAACGCTCAGTGACAAAAACAGAATGCACAACATAACCATCAAAATGGAGATGGGCACGTTGATAAAAAAGCTTGTTTCCCCTTCGACAGATTTGGACACAACGGTAGTCCGTGTCTGGTACATTGATGTAGGTGTTGTCTGGTTAGTAAGTTCTGTGGGTGTTGTATGAGATATCGGGGAGCTTGTTTGTTCCATATCGAACTTCTCTTCAAAGCAAGTTTCTTGGCTTTCCAGGCGAAATGGGGAAACATTGAAATACGATTGGAATGTGTCGCCTTCTGTGAGCTTAAGGCAGGTCACATCTTGTGTTTCTAGCGTAGGCGTGCTACTCTCGTAGTTTTCGACGACTATGGCGTCTTTTCCTTTGATGCAATTTGTGTTATACAACACAAAGGCAACATTAACAGTAGCTAGGTTATCAGTACCAAGGGAAACTACCTTGAGGCTTAGTCCACCCTGTAAAGGAATGGTCACGCCTTCATTATCATCCCATACACGCCTACACTGGTCAGTACTGCTAGATAATTGTTTGTCCAGCGATCCGTTTGTGACAATGACTACAAAAGGTGACTGTATTTTCATCCTAAAAGACTGAATGTGGACATGTTACAGAAGAGTGTGTTGACGTTGAGCTATCATGGGGGTCAGTCCCGGCCTCATCAAACAGGTACGCAAAGGACTGCTTGTTTCCATTGACATCATGTGTCAGACAGACGAGGATATGCGGAACTTCTAACCGTATCAGCTGTCTAGCAACTGAGTTTCCTAATATGTTATAAAAATTCTTCGTCACAAGATACCATGGCGTCAGACTTGGAATTGCATCTTTGACTGTTACCAGATTCTCACCGCTCAAATAGAGCACTGGCGGATTATCTGTTCCGGAGAATGCTTCCCTGTCTACACATGACAAAGGATTTTCCGTCATGTTCAGTGTTTCTAGATTTGTCAGGTTCTGAAATGCCTTAGCAGGAACCCTATGAATACAGTTCGACCCCAAGTACAGCTTATACAGATTTGAATTGTGGAACCATTCAGGGTGGACAGATTTCAAGAGGTTGTTTTCAAGACTCAGGATTCTAAGAGATATCAGGTCCTCAAAGCTTCCTGGGTCTATCTTTACAATTTCATTATTGGACATGGTCAAAAAGCGTAAGTTTCTTAAACCGCTGAACCAGCTCTCTTTGACATGCACCAGTTTGTTAAATCTAGGGCCAAGGTGAACATGATACTGAAGTCAGCCATTATATTTTTCTCAATATATTTTATCTGAGCGTCGACCAGAATAAGACCTTTAACCAAAGAGTACTCAAGAGGTGGCAATGTCTTGGCAGATATAACACCGAACGGGTAGCCTTTTATGGCCAGAGTTGCAGGGGTACGACGCAGGCAGGCTACAGTAGGTGGCTGGGTAGAACTCACATTGGTAACACTAGTATCTTCACACACTATACATATCTTATCAAAGCCACGTGTTGAAACTCTTCCTTGATAACACATTAACATGTCCGCTTCTATACACTGAGGGAAGCAGAGCCTGTCGGCAGGTAGACAAGGAACTATTACAATGTTCAAAAAGAGAAAAAGCGAAAGACTCATCTTCTTGATAGTCTTCAGACAGCGAACTGTAGGAGACAACATTTATGCACCGGTAGTTGTGAAGCTTGCGTGTGTTGTTTGGTTGGTTGTTTGGTTGGTTGGTTGGTTGGTTGGTTGGTTGGTTGGTTGGTTGGTTGGTTGGTTGGCTGGTCGGCTAGCTGGTTGGCTGGCTGGCTGGCTGGCTGGTTGGTTGGTTGCTGGCTGTAGCTGGGTGGGTGGGTTGGTTGTTTGACTGGCTGGCTGGTTGGCTGGCTGGCCGGCTGGTTGGCTGGCTGGCTGGCTGGTTGACTGGCTGGCTGGTTGGTTGCTAGCTGGCTGACTGGCTGGTTTGGTTGGTTGGTTGGTTGGCTGGCTGGCTGGCTGGCTGGCTGGCTGACTGGCTGGTTTGCAATTGGTTGGTTGGTTGGTTGGTTGGTTGGTTGGTTGGTTGGTTGGTTGGTTGGTTGATGACAAGGTGAACTCGGTGACAGGAACTGACTGTCTGCAGCCTGTGTAACAAAATTATGCTGCTTTACATTGTTTTTGTCGGGCATTCTGCCTGCTCAAACTTGTAGATGATTTGGAAGAAATTTGAAATGCGAATTTATACCCTTCGCATTTAAGCGAAATGATTTATTTTTATGACAGAAAAGGGGTCAGACATAGTACGGAGCCAACAGTTCATATGGTGTCCTTGCACAGTTTAATGGACAGTGAGCAAATAGCACAGGGGCACATATATCTACTATGTCTATATGGCAAAATTGCTGTGTTTTGCGTCCAGTGACTCCCCGTTTTAAGCCTCACATTTCCCCCAGTGATTTTCTGTAAACATATTTCTATCTGTAGTTACATCGTTTAGTCTGGATGCTGTAACGTAAAAGATTCTGGGTAGCTAGACACCCAGTCTCACGGCTAGTTCACCTTTCAGTCCCAGTTTGTTGACAGTGTGGCAGAGACACAGGAAGCAACACTTCTTCAACTGCGGCAGCTCAAGAGTTTATTCACTGCATCACTGACTATAACTTTTATCAAGAATTGAACGGTATGCTATTGGTCCAGTGCGGCATAGTCTAATATTTGTTACCAAAAAAATGTGTTTAAAAAACTGAAACTCAGACCAATCTGGCAAACTATCATCAAAAGAAGATTATGTTGAAACGGGCCAAGGCTGATCAACAGCTACTTCAAACAGTTATATAACACAGACAATATACAGGAATAATTCCATGGTACAACCTTTCGGACACGGAAGACTTACGGGTTTTGCCAACAGGATGAACGTTTCAAGGGACTTGAAAAGAGGATATACCTGGGATAACATATGATTTTCAATTTCCAGTTTTATTTTTCGTCGATCACAACTACATGTAGACGAATGGTGGATTACCACGGAACACATGATGATTCCATGATATCATTTAGTATCCATACGGCAGTGAATTTCTGGCGTTTGTCACTGGCGAGCTTTTATTTAGATGAAAGTTTTTTAAAAAGTAGTACACCAAATATATATATATATATATATATATATATATATATATATAGAGAGAGAGAGAGAGAGAGAGAGAGAGAGAGAGAGAGAGAGA